GTGCTGACTACGGATCTGTCTCCTTTCGAGACAAAGCCAATCCAGAGACACAGTATAGTCGTGTTAGATGGCAGTAGATCACAGGTGCGATGGACCGTAGATTTGGTCCTCGGCAGTTGTCTTTCTCCATGACACGTCCACTGTGAGATGATGTGCCCACAACGCCCTCGTGGTGTGCCGTGATGCGCCGTACGTCGTGATGATGCGCCATGATGGGTCTGTAATGCATTATTGGTAAGTCTCGATTCAATCGTCTCGGCCGGCCACAAGACTCTTCCCAAGTCTCTGTTTTCTGTGCTCAACCTGCCATCAAGACCAGCTCCACGTTGTGTCGCAAGCCCAAGGACACTTCTGTCAACTAACTCGGCCGAAGCATTGGTGACCAGAAATGTCCATTGACTCCTCGCGCCTCGAGCAGGCCAGTGGGACTACACATGAACAGAAGAGAACACGTCCTGATATGAGGCTGGTCCGTTTCTGCCACGAATTGAAGTCGAATTACGGCCCGCAGGACTTGTTTGCCAAGCTGCTAGGGGACGGATGGCGCCCCAATGGCTATAATCAGCTGAAGGCAACCTTCCGTACCTGCGCTAGATCGTGCCCCACAGTCGATTGCAACCGCTATCGGTTCGCGCTGTTGAGTCAGAATTCGCCATGAACTAAACTAGCTCTAGCCATGCGTCTGGCGCCTACAACAGCTCCAGCGCGCGTGCGGCCACTTCCTGGTCGAAGTGCCGTGGTACGTTTATTCACCTCTCTCTGTCGTTTACGACCTGAGGTGCGTAACGTTGTAGGCAATGCACGAATCAGGCTCGACATTACACAAGACTTTTGCTAACCAAGTTCCGAACCTACTGTACCACGAAGCCACTTCGGCGCGCGAACAGAAATCCACGATCCAAAGTGTCCCTTCCAGCCCTCTGGTCGCAGACACGAAACCGACTTTGGGCTGGTTCGGTACAACACGTTCAGGAGGGAAAGAGGATGGTTTGCCCGATTGCCACCTGGGGTCACTTTGGTCACTAGATACGCCCCGCGGATGATAGCCAAGGGATGATTCGGTCGACAGCTGATTGGGTCTCATGGTTCCGTTTCGACCAAGGCCGCTTGAGCTTAATCTGACTTCAGGTGGTTGCAACAATTCTTCTAATCGCGGGCCATTCGCGCAATTCTATCTGCCGTCCATTCCCTTCGGCGTCCGAGCTCAACTACAATACGACACAGCACGTGTACAAAGCCACTGTCTTGATGCCAATCGAGCCTTCGCCCAGGGCCAGACGAGGCACGACACAACACGACACGATAGATACCATCGGATACGATGCGATCTCAATACGTCTCGCGGCGCATCCACCATCCACCGATCCCGCTGCTCGTCAACCGTGCCGCCCGCTGACCACACGCACACGCACACGGCACGCGTCGCCGCCGCCGACTGCCCAACCTACACGAGCCGGCGTTTCGTAGGACTGCCCATTTTGCCCACGGAACTATCATGCTCCAACACAGCTCCCGCGACCTACCACGTCTCTGCCCTTGCCCTTCTGCCGCGACGTGTAGCCAGCGCCTCAAGCAGTTCTAGGCCGACGGACTGGTGACCAACGAGTGCCTGAGCTCTACACGCCTTCAAGAATGCTCTGCTAGTCTCAACCGAAGAGATAGTACAATAGCATATCTGAATGCCATCAGATATGACACGCGGCGTCATCATGCCTGCAGGCAGTGGCGCCGTGCCCAGTTATCCTCGCGAAGAGTCCAAGACGAGCACGGGTACAACGCTCCCCCCACTGTCCGGCATGGGGATTGGAAATAATGGGCGCGCCAGGAGCGTACACGTCCCGGACGGCTTTGACAGTGGGATCTTGTCGTAGTCCCCGCAGCTGGCACAGAAGCACGAGTACGACCAGAATAGCGTCTGAGCATTCTCGTCACATAGCCAGACAGAGTCGACCCGGAGCGATTCCCATCCCGATATCATGCAGTGGATTTATCCAGTGGACCGCTGAGCTGCACCACAGAACCGTGTGGGCAGCTACCAAGGCTGGATAAGATGATTGCCCCTGTCGGCCATCCCGAGATGATGGTGCCGCCAACCTGGCAACCAACGTGACTGCCGACAACACCTTGGTACGCCACCTGCTCACCTTGTACTTTTGCTAGAAGTACCCAACTTTTACCTCGCGAGGGCCTGAAAGGGGTCATCCCCGAGCAAAAGACTGAGATTGGGCGACGGCGCCAGAACGAGACGATGCTGCTGGCCAGGCGGAGCTGCGGGAAAAGACTCACCGAGTGCTCGACCTCGAGCGGCTCCAGACACGCACCAACTTGAAGCTGATCGGGAGCGGCCTCGTGATAGAGGCGCTGGTACGCGACCGGACCCTGCTGGTGCAGCACGTGCTCGAGGCAGTGGTCGGCCGGCTGGACCGCATCGACAGCGCGACCTCGAGACACCGTGTCTTCGACGAGATCGACGGCTTCCTCGAGAACGTAACCGGCCACATCATGGGCTGTATACAGCAGGTCATGCAAGACGCCTCCGCCGTCAACGGCGTGGTGCGCAACATGCGGCGCCTGCTCCCGGGCCGAGCCGACAGGAACGACCTGGAAGACGTGACACGCCTCTTCGGCGAGGTTGATACGTTCAAGAAGAATGTCGAGGAGCTAGCAACCTGGTGGGAATCGGGGTTGCGCTGCGCGATAGACACCAGGGCGACAGCGAGCCACCCGCGGGGATACGCGTTACACCTTGTACCACGAAACTTTCACAATTGATTCACCACATAACTGAGTTCAAGCATATTGAGTATATTGCCTAGATACGAATCAGATAGTGCACTACTGCCAATACCTCAAGCTGGCTCAACCGTGTCAACGATGTCACGTCAGTGTTGCATTTCACGTTCTGGAAACTCCGGGTTTCATGTATCTAGTTATCACACCAGCTGGTCAATCTACATTATTGTGTCCCTGGCTAGGCTGGAGCAGTCGTCTGGTTGTTGAACGAGGACAGAACGAAGCTAACCTCGTCCATGGCTATTCTCTTAGATGATTCCATGACCGCTGCGTCCGGATAGAAAACATGGACGGGGCCATGTGCTACTTCCCTGACCCTGATAAGTCGCTGCCCGTTGGCTTCGTCCCAGTAACTCTCAGCCTTCCGATATGGCAAGGAGGTAGGATGAGCCAATGGGACGACAGTAAGCACATCGAACATGTGCATCTTGATTAATGTGTTCGTTTCCCTGGTAAAGCGAGTTGCCTGTTCGTAGGAATCACGGTCTTTGGCCGCATCGAATATTTGTATCAACTCCACCGTGTTGAAGTCCCAAGGGCATGCACGAAGGACGTTGTCGCCATGCATCTTGGTTTTGGCGCATTCCGTCGGGAAGAACCAGGTGGGAATGTTCTTCTTTCTGACAATGTCCTCGATCTTCATGGCAGCGTCAAGATCCATCAAGTCATTGTAGTTATTCGGGAAGATGTTGACATCGGCATGCAGCGTACGTGCCATAGCGACGACGGCTAGCGGCTGGTGGTCCGTCTCGCCCAAGAAGCGAACCATCTCAGCGAATGGCCCTCCACCCAGTACTAAGGTACGGGCATCCTTTGCAGGTCCACTGAAGTGCTGTAGTAAACCCTCCATCGGGTGTAGTATGTCCTCGGGACTCTTGTAACCCAAGTGTGCGGCAAGTCTTCTAGCCGCTTGTGTCATGATTCCCACCATCTTCATCTCGCGCTCCTCGCCACGTAGATGGAGTATTGCCTGGGCAGAATTCAGCTCCTCAGTAGTACAGGCATAGAGCTGGTCGTTCACGTGTGTCGGGTGGTGAATGCCCGGAACAATGGTGTCGGTAGATTTCGGGTCGTAGTAAAAGTTGAATCGGGTCTTCGCGTGGCCTTTAGACTCAAATTTCAAGGCGAATCGAAGTGCTGAAAGTGCCATGTACAGTGGCAGGTGCGTCTTTGTGTGCATGTCTCTCTGAAATGTTGTATCGCGGGCGAAGTAGTCCCGCCATTGCTCATCATCCAGCAGGTCGTTGATTTCCTCGGCGTCGGTGTCCCGGACATCAAGCATATGTCTCAACCCGACTTTCGCCTGGAGCTTCGCGAAATGGCCGGCGAAGGATGGGACACGCAGATCTAGGACCCGTGGCGAAAGTACGATGTGAACGACGGCATTCGGTGCACGAACCAGGGCCCAGAGGCACATCCAAATATTGTCTAGGTCGACAACGTCAACGAAGACGAGCACATGCGCAAGGCTGTTGAGCTGGTCATGAATATCACTGAGAGAAGACATTGGGGTTTTGTGCAGTGTGAAAGTATACTCAAAGGGGTGGATGATTTAGCATGTGGATGGTGCATGTAGGATCTATGCTATCCAGGAACACGATGGACAGGAAATTCGTGGTATTTTATACCAGGCGAGGCAGCGGATCCCTGTACCCTTCGGACGCATTAATTCCAGCATAGTGTCTGCCTTGGCCCAGTATAGGACTGTTTCCACAACCAGAAGCCTACATCCACGTCCATAGTGGTGACTGAACCGGCCCCGGCATGTCGACAATCATCCCTCCCGGACGCTCCGTCAGACGATGGCTTTGAGGTTCATCGCCACTAGTCTTCGCGAACTAAAAGTGACCTGGGCTGTGTGGCATCGTTCTTTGAGCCAACCGCGTCTGCCTTCCACGTACTCGGCCTGTCTATTCAACCGGCCAAGCCCAGTTATGGAGCAGGTTAGGAAGCTATCAACGACTCAGCCCAGGCAAGGTTCAATTTCTTCCGTATGTTCACCATTTATGGGTACGAAATACCCGTACCATCTCTCAAAGCAGCATAGAGTGTGGGTTCACCTCTTCAAACTAGTGTCCTAGCCTCGGGGACCGGGTCGACATATTCTTCCAGTTCACTCATCACTTTCATCTGCCGTTGTTTCTCTTTCCAGAATTGACCCGTCCATCCTATATTCCTACCACAATGGCTTCTGAGCTAGTCAGCCGACGATCTCAGTCTTCGCTCTTGTTGGTGCCACGAGAGGTACGCGATCAGATATATGATGCACTTTGGGCGTTGTGTGGAGTTCGTCAACACGTTTACCAAGCCGAAGCTGGGCTCGGACATTATCCGTGTCGACTATCGCCAACATACGTCGATACCAGGAACACCGACTTTGAAGCCTCATGTGGCCAACCTACGACAAGACCATCGTTCATGATACGAAACCCGCAATGGGCACGTCGTATGGCATCAGCTTGGAATGAGCATTGGGCATGTGAGGAAGCGCTGGTGGAGGAACGATGTGAGAGCTATACCAGACCAGCGTCATTCATATCGATACTGTTGGTGTGCAGACAAATGTGAGATGCCTAAGATACATACGATAGCCCGATTTGTGCTGACACAGGCCAACTAGTCACGATGAAGCTCTTCGGTCTCTATACGCGTCCGTGACATTGATATGTACGGACCTAGGGCTGCTACACACGCTCCTTGTCACGCAGCCATTAGCCTGCTTTCAGAAAATAAGATGTCTGCACCTGTCTATCAAGGTTCCCTACGATCAATTGCAGAAGCCCGATGGTCAAGTCTCACGTAATACGACTGGGCTATGGCAGGATATTTGCCGAAGCCTTTCTCTACTCACGAGAGCCTCGTTACGAGATGTCGTTCTGCGTCTTGATCTCGACGACGAGCACTTCTGGTGGGAGATCCGCGAGACGTTAGCCCTCCGTTGGATAGAGGGACCCTTGCGGCAGATCATGGTACTCTTGTTGCCTGATATCACCTTTGACATACCGATGATGCGTCGCTTCCAACTTGAGCACAGCAAAGAAACTCTCGAAGGCGGGTTTAAGCACGTCAATCGCTATACTCGATGCCGATGGAAAGCATACGGTTACGCAGGTGTCATGCCGAGATTGGAGTTTTTTAATTCAAGACAGCATGCAGCTTGGCATATATCGAGTGATACAGAGACCTGGAGGATGGCGCTCGAATTCTTGGAGGGGGTCTAGAAACTGGGCGGTTATCATTCGACTATAAGTGACACGGCGAATGTTTATTAGTATTCTGCTGTAACCTGCAGGTAGAAGAGTCCAGATCTTGCAAGATGCTTATCTTTCGGCCTAATCGATCGTTTAGAGTGGATCTACGGCAATGCCACAAATATCACAGAGGGTCCACAACTCATGCTACTCCCTCTTCCCATATCTCTTCCCACGCTCTCTTTGTACGATCAGCATAATACCGGTAGCGCTACTAAAGGAGACTTGCAACGTAGCGAAACTGTACCGCAAGCTCTGTCATGACATCATACAGCACGAACACCACCGTAGTGATCTACAGAGTGAGCAACGACCAAGGTGAGTAAGGATCAGGATGTTATGGCAGGAGAGTGCTTACAAAGCGTTGGTCTTGATGTGTGTTGGCCAGTGATCCGGAAAACGTGGCTATAAAAGCCACAATGCGAAGCACACAATGAACAGTGATGTAGGCCTGAGATTGCTCACAATCTCTTCGGATGAGTATCCATTCCCGCACCATCCACAAGCGAAAACCACCTGTTGAGATGGTGTAGAATATTCGCTCCACTTGCTCGGGTAGGCCGCGTAGTCCCGCTTCAACGCCGAACAAAGCGAAGCAAGAGACCAAGACAGTCACGACTGGCAATGGAGCAAAAGACCTCTGACCCAGGCTAGATGCCCCGGCCGCTGTTATGCTCTGTATAGGGGTCAACTAGGCCAATAGAAGAAGCCACAGTTGACTCACTTCTCTACTCATACTCCAAGGTGGGATGACGTAAAGCAAATAGCAACCCCAATTGCTGCCTCGAGTTAATGCTAGGATAAGTATTGCCAATGATGTGGAGATTGCTACCAATGAGATGGCTGTATAGGTTATTAGATACGGGAGCCTGTATGCTTCATTCAACGGAAGCGGTGTCTGAATTTGGTGTAGCCGAGTGTATGCACGTTTGCAACCCCAGACAGTCAACAATAATTCCACCACCCAACATGCGGTCAGAACAGGCAGGTATGTCATTGCGTTTGTTTCGTCGTAAAGTATGCTCAGGAGACCTTGTATGCAGTGTATATGACCAGTCTTCCGCTAAAAGAGGGGGGATATCATACAGTTTATATGCTGAGACGCATTGGTGTACGGACAGACAGTTCGTCCGCTGTGTCTTGGATCTGCTCCAACTTGTGCATGCGGGTTGTTACCTAGCTGAAACAGTACACGAGATAGCCCGGAGTTTGGGACTGCACACCAGGTGATATTTCCCATCTGACCTTTCCAGTTTATCACATCTAAGTGAGGAAGTGGAAGCAAAAGACAGAAAATCACTCCTCCATTGGATGTAATAAAAACAAGGACCATCACTATGGCCAAGCGCAGGGTAGTCACCGTCTTGATCTTGATCTGGCTACCACAAGAAGGCCAAGAAGATTAAGGTCTGCGCGTTGATCGCCCAATTACGCCTAGCAGCGTAGATGAACATGAAGTCAGGAAGAGCGCTGTTTCTTTGTCTGGCGCCCTCTATGTGGATCCATCAACCTAGACGCGAATCCAGCACCGCCTTCGTCTCACGCACATCTGACATGATCCCGGCTGCTCGTGGTTTACATCAACCCCTGCTCCTATACCTCGGGTGCCCGGATGGAACTTTGGCCCGTTTGACGTAGTTATGCCTGGAGACGGCCTGATTCTTTGGTCCGTAGAGACTGAACTGCCCCCTAGCCAAGGATGCAGGCCAGCCTACACGTTACCACTTCCAGAAGTGATTGATCTCCTGGGCATACAGAGATCATGTGCTTGTCGACGATAAGTGGTGGTTTTACAAGCGGGACCCTTTTGTCGTTGCCCTGGCACTGTCCCAAATCAATCTTGTCCTCCGACACGAATAATACTAATTGCGCCGACTCCGTGTAGTATGCCTTGTTTATTATTATGGAGGAACCCAGATCAAAACGCATATAAATACTCCTACCCCTTGCGTCCTGACAAGAAGTCATGCAAATTGTCCCTACCTTTGATCAAATCAAAAACCTTCATACAGATTTCTGTGCATCGATATATCAACTCGAAATGACGAACACCTTGACAGCCGTTGTAGATGTCCCGTTAGTCATGTTTGGTCTCGGTACAACAGAGCTACTCTACGCGGTGACCTTTCTTCTCGTAGCAAGGGTTACCCACCTTGTGTTGAGGGGTGAGATCAAGTGGAGCGACATTAGAAGTCGCCTTGGGCATTTTCTGCGTTCTATCCTCCAACGAGCAAGCCTATGGTCCAACATGCTTCACCAGGTCCGTGTAAATAATGGAAACCATCAAATCTACTCCGCCGGGGTAAAAGCAGGGGAAGGACATCTCCCAGTGTTCGATAAGACAGTGAGTAATTGCGTCTATTGCACGCGATAAGATGACTGACTTGCGCAGCCCTTGAGCGGTGATATGGCGGTGATTTGCCAAGAAATCAATGATAAGAATGGAAAGATAGCAGCATACAAGATCTCTTCCAAATCTGGCCTCTTTAAAGTGGCAAGACAGCTCTATGATGAAGAGATGGAAACGGGCAAAAGGGTCAGATTTACAATCACATGCAACTGAAATTGCAATCTTGAAGATACGTGGCTCCAACATGTCTTCATGTCTTCAAGGTATGCTTCAGTTGAGGCCGGCTGTTTGGTTGATAAAGTATATTGACAAAGATGAACATGTAAGGAGTATTTGCAACGATGCAATCTATGGCTCTAGGCGTTTGTGGCGGTGTGGCCACAGGCCAGCCTGAAGCGCAAGGCAGTCCGGCTGAGGGAAACCTTGAAGCAGCGTACAGCATGCACAGAAGAGAGGCAATCATGGCACGGGATAATCCAACAGAGCTTGGAACGGAACAGCATGTCCAAATCCAGGATTGGGAGGTGGATAGATACTGAGCTCGGGTGGTGTGGCTTGTCCAGTGGCGTAGTGTCGCTCTGCGTTCTATTTCCTATATAGTTATCTTTGTTGCGTGTGGATTCCAATAAGACAGCGCTCCTTTCACCCATATATTTGGACCCTGCGTTCTGGCGACCGACAACCCTTATTGTGCACGCTACAGGAGGAATTATCACTCTGACGAGTCAGGTCCCATTAGACAAAGTATGTTGGATTCGTCGGCAGAGACGTTGAAGACTACTTCGGCTGCTGTGGACGTTCTGGGACAGCACTGTCCTGGAGCACCACTCCAGTTCAATACACATAGGGACGAATTCCTAGATACATCAACAGTCGTTCCGTCCTTCCACTGTGGCGGCAAAAATAGCTGTGAAGCCATAGCAGTGAAGCCAAATTGTTCCTCGCAATGTTGATTATAACCAAAGCAGATCAAGGACGAAAGCCGACAATGGGATAAACTGGGGAAGCAGAATTGACGAATGCATGTGACGAAAAGGTATCTGGGTAAATACGTGTTGAAGGTCCCCAGAAATGGTCCGGTCAACACTTCCCCAACAGCCGACTACTTCTGTCACTGCTTCAACTCAGTCACTGTATTTTTCATTTTCATGCAAACGGAAGACCGCCCAATACTAAAGCCCCCTCCCAATTGCCAGCACTCCAGTTCATATGTGTGATCAGGCTTCCACTACAGAATCTGTAAAGACAAGAACATGGATATGGCTCTACCGGCAATGTAAGTCCCGACCTCAGTGCAGTGCGTATTTCTCTCACTCCTTACTATAGCTTGGAACTATTCAAGTTCCCATCCTCGCCAATGATCTCAAAAAAATTCTGGCAACGGCTGTTGCCTTTCTTGCAAAGAATGCAGAAGTATTGGTATGACCAGAGCCTGTTGTGTCGTCCTGACTACCTTGGTCCCGAGGGAATCACTTTGATGGACCGTGACTGGGGCCTCACAGCATCGTTCTTCAAAACACGGAGAGATCAGTGTGGATATTATGGAAAGATCCATGGCGGTATTCTTGTCACGATGCTTGATGACAGTCTGGCGAGGTGTGCCGAGTTGGCAGCACGCGGAATCCTGCTGACCGCCGATGTCCGGACAACATTCAAGGCTCCCGCAACCCCCGACACCTTACTCGCGGTCTGGGCTAAAGTGGTCAAGCACGACGGCCGGAAGGTGTGGGTGCAGGGATGGCTGGTATCAGTCACCGAGCGACCGGTCATGGTTGCTGAAGCGACGGGACTGTTCATTCAGGCGAGGGAGAGTGAAGGATCAGAATGCCAAAAATAGGCCAGTTCCTTAGGGCCTCTTTCACTTTGAAACCAATGCCTCACAGTTTGGATGTGACTTTTGTTCAGCCTTGTTATTCGACTTAGCGGGCTTGACCTGATTTTCCCTTCCTTCTGACCCACACCACTCCCTATTTCTACGGTTTAGGTGCTGTGATTGCATGTCACAATCAGAGGCGTCTTTTGACCTGACGAGCATGTGTGGAGTTCGTGGAAAATGGACGTTGTCAATGTCCGTGCCATCTTTGAAATGTCAAGAAATAGTTTACCATTAGAAGACTGTTAGCCCTAAAAGCGATTTTCAGATACTTTGCTCAGACCCCTGGATATGCACCCAAATTACTTCTCAGTTCTCAGTCAAAGCCGATGCTACAGTACTGTACTGTACCATTGTAGTAGGTTCTACTGCAGTCGGGGAGATGTCCCCAGGCTCGACACTGGTACCGCTGGTCTTTGACCTCCAGAATCGGCCCTCCCCCACAGGATGGAGTCTATAAATCGGGGGACCCGCGCCTCTAACTAAGACTTGGATGGTCCACTCCACGTTGATTCGGAAACTGGTGAGCTCAAGCTGCATGGCTGGGCCTCAGTAGACGACGCCAACTTGCGTCATTCTCTCTTCCCCGTTCAGGGCAGTTGGGGGCTTCCCTGTCCCACATGGCTGTTGTCCCGCCCGACTGGCGTAGGGTTCGGCTTCTGCACCGTCGGGCTGCACCCATCCATTCCTGCCCGAATTCCCCCCCCCCTTTTTTTTTTGCCTTTCCCTCGGTAAGTGATGGCTCACGGGACAGGAGAAATTCTTGAAAATATACGGAGACATCCAATGAGGTGATATGTTGGCATTTGAGGCAGCACGGAGTTTGGCTCAACAGACCTTGACCACCATTGGCTACCTCCAGTTGATACAAAATTAGAATCTTCAATTGTGGTCTAGTTCTGTACAGAATGTACAGATGCCCTACATTGTCGTTGTATCATTGCACGCCACCTGCTGAGCACCGGCATGAGGTACCATGTCCCTACGCTGTGGTAGACGGTACTAAGCACCAGGTACAACAAGTATGATGAGACCTAGCCGAGGTACTGGGCAAAGACCGTAGTAAACGGCTTCTGCAGGAGCGGCTCTGAAGATCCGCAGTGTGGGAGCATGATTCCCCCGCCTAGCTTCTTCCCGACGACTGTCGCCGACTGGTGTACGCAATACACCGCGGACGTAAAGAGGTTTAATGACCGCGTCGTGGCCGGTGAGTAAATCAGCACCAGTATTAACAACAACCAATGACTGGAGGCTGCTGAGGACTACCATGTAGATGAGCTAGAACTGCTGCTCCTAACAAAACTGTTCGTATCGTCTCGAACATGCGCATGAAAGCCAGGATCACATCGCCGTTCGAAAGTTTCACGAAGCGCCAGGGGTTTCTGGCTATACCACTATGCAGCCTGATTCAGGATGGCAAGATTGACGAACCGATCCACGTCCACAACGCGTACGGGCAGAGCTAGACCCTGGCGGTGAGGGCAAGAATACCGAATGGTTGGCCTAGGGCTATCCCTGGACAACAACCGGTTCACGCATTGCCAACACAGTGTCATATGGTGGGGTACAACTACGGTGCAGGGAAACCCCGGCGTAAACCGACTGCACCATAATTGTTCAAGGGATGATCTGCAAATACAGAAATCTGCCTAGCATCAACCCCCAGGCTCCTCAGCGGCAAATAGTTGATGAGTCACACCTTGCATGCTGCGTGTGTTATTTCATGCAGGCCACAATTACAGGGAGTCTCACTTAACAAAGGGCCTGTGAGGCGACCGGCCTCACTTAAATGACCACATCAAATTCGCCCAAAGCGACAAAGTCTTATCCATTAGCCACAGGCATGCGATAAGCAGAATACTCAGATTACAGTAACTAATCCGGCACTTTAGGCACAAAGACCTTTTCTAATATCACTAGAAATGGCCCAGAAATATTGCTGCCTATTCATGGAAATCAGAGGTTGGCCGGAGCTTGAAGGAGAGAAATTCTCCAATTTCAAGTCTGGGAAGCATGATACGTCCCCGCAGGCGCTATGTACTGGCGTGCCCCTTCACGTAGTCGATGGCCCACTGTGATTGTTCTAGAGGCTTTGCAGAGGGACTTCACGGCTGAGAACGCCGCCAGGGCCATTAGCGTTGGGCCAATGTGCAGGCAAAAGTATCTACAAGGGCACGGCCGACTCTTCTACATGCAGGTGATATATCATGAATCTGCAAATGGGGTTTCTCTGTGTTTTGTAGCGCAGGGGAGGCGAGCAAATGTACACTATCCTTGGCCCATATCCGCCCGCATCGCAGCGTATCACAGCGAGCTACTTGGAAAGACCAACGAGTGGGGCGCAGGCGGACAAATGAAGCTATACCATTCCTAGAATATTTCCCTCAAAAAGGGAGTTCTTGTTGGAATGATAGCACTATATTTCAAGCCATACAATTGCTTCTCTGGCCAGGTCTTCTTGCACAGGAATACATATAATCAGTGCCAGGATTGATTGCGCCATACACTTAATGTACATCCGTGGCGGATCATAATCCCGGTAGTGACAATGTTTCTCCGCTGATGAACTGCAAAACCTGGTGGATACACTTCAAGTCTTGGAGATACCTGATGCATCCTTGTGCATACAGACCCTGTTGGGGACGCAATTGATGGTACTTGGGACATACGAATTTTACTCATGGCGCTATAACATTCGTGGCCGCACGATCTGAACCTACCGACGCGACAGATATGACAGATCAGTCTTCGTTCTTTGTATTTTACAAAGCTCAAATTTTTGCCCTGGCGTCACGGAGCTCGATCCTTCACTGTCTTCCCCATCATTCCTTATGCCTCTATTACGAGGCGAATCCTCTGTTTCCCCACGGCCGAGCGGGTACCGTTGCAGGAAGACAAATAGACTTTAGGAGTGGCAGCAACGCAAAGCGTTATCCGATTAACAATCTTGGCTAACGAGTGTAAGAGGGCGAGTCGCGACGATGCAATCTTCATACAGCAATGTCACAAGTTTTGCGCATGCCAAGCGCTGTCCAAGATCCAATGCCAGCTCCCTTACAGTAGCCTTAGAAAGACTGTCGAGTAAAGCATCCGTGGAAAGCGTACACCGGACATGTTGGGCTAGTACAGAACATACCCCGCTTGGTGGCCTTCAGGACCTAATGAACAGGTTTGGCAGTCAGTTATCTGAAGGGTGGACGAAATGAATTCTGACTGGTCAGCGCCCCGATGTGAACTCGTGCTCCATGGTTGGTTTCAGGGCGTCTCCGGTCAGCTGTTGCCCAGGCTCTTTGACCCTTCTCAATCACTCATAATAGGCGGTGATAAGGCAAAGCCAAGGTCAGTCGTACCGGTTGGCTTCCCAGCTTAACGATCAGACGCGAATCATTATTATTAATGCGGAGGTTTTATACGATAGCGGCAGTCCGTATACGGGCGATCAATTGTGCACACGGACGATGCATTGAAAACAGACCTATTACAGCGGTGCTAGTAGTCACTCATGATGAAGCATTTGCCGAAACCACGCAGACAACCTAAGGCACGGCTTACTTCGCACACGAAGTAACACACATTTGAAAAGTACAAGTAGGGCTGCCCCGTCTCATGAAATGAACCGCTGCTTACTCGCAGCTCCTTTGACATACTCAAGTCACTGACTTTTTCAACTCCAAAATCTAAATTATTACAACCATGCACCTCATGGCAATCGTTGTCGTCATCGGCGTTCTCGGCGCCCAGGCTCAGGACGGCATCCAGCGACCATGCAACACCCCCGGCAAATTTGCTTGCGGGATCGAGGTACGCGCCGGTCAGCTAGGTGATATATATGTATGCGCCGCCACTGGTCAATGGCAGCTATCCGCCCAATGCGGCGGCGTGAACTGCTGTAGTCATGTTGGAGACCGCGTAAACTGTATCTGCTAAAGGGTACGTTATCGCCCCGAAACAAGTCATGACTGGTGAGTCGATAGCCTCGTCAGCCTGCCCAGTATCTACGCAACCTTAACTGATCCATGTATTTGATCTGACTTAGGGTACGCAACCTGCCGATTGGTTCTCACTAGGCTCTCCGGTTCCAGGACGAACAAGTGTAGGAGGATTTTCAGTGGTTATTCATCAATAAGTGGGTGAATAGTGACGTACCAGAATACTTAGTTCTATCTGCTGGAGTGGGGGAAGTCTTGCGGGGTATATCTGCTGTAGATAATCTACAGTGGGTTGCCAGTACAGATGAACTTTGTCTCAGGATCGGTTCAGACCGACTCATTAGTTATGCGAAAAAGACATTGAACAAAGGAAAATCAGTTGGGTGATTGCTCTGAAATGGTCGCTGATCAATACTATTTATGCTTCATTACACTCATTTAACGCGTATAGCCATAACACAAGATTTAAATTGCATTTATCTTTGCCGTGAGATTTTTACTAAAGCATGATGTGGATGAGTTATACTAAATGCATTGATATAAAGAATATTATTGGATGAACTTTCGAACGCAGGCGATTTGTCAGCAGGGGATTCGGCGTGCGAATAGGGCGATCAACATAGCCACTGTAGTTACCGCGGAAAGCAAGAGACGTTCCACCCCTTCATTCAAAAGTGATAATAAACGGAAGTGCTACAATGAACGTCGCGATTTTAAATAACATGGCTAGTCTCAGCTATCTACCCGCAGCTCGTTCCGCCTCAGTGCATTCTTCAAGAGCTTGTCGCCGGACCCGATCGGTCCGTACCACACTCGCGTACGTCTTTCGTCTGGGCGTCGAGGACGTTCGGCCACTTGCTCCGTCCCATCGTCCCGCACCACGTACAAGGTGTCGTGGTCTTGACCCGGATCGGCAAAGCTGCCTACTGCATGCTCTTTGTCGCGGATCATCTCGAAGTGGGGTAGGAAAGCGCGGCGTCATACGGCGCCTCGAATTTAATGCTGCCGATAGCTAATCGGACGATCGGTTCCGTCATCGCGAGCGCGTGCCCAGATCGAAGCGGCCGGAGTTCGTCTCCTATCTCTTTGCCTAGGTCGTACGCGATGGGTCCCGCGCTCTCGCCATCTGCAAGACCTACGAGTACGTCGCCCAGCCGGATATCGCGCGGCGGCTTTCATGTCAAGTCAGGTAGGCCCGCTGCTACGCCAACCAGAAGCCCGAACCAGAGATTTGGAAAGAACTTCTTCACCAGACTGGCGAGCGCCGCTGCTGATCCTGTCCCGTATTCCTGGCATGCCGGCAGTGTTGCGACAACGACCTTGTGGCCGCACATGCTACCCGCGTGGAACACATAGTCGTCGCCTCGGCTCACGGCGAAGTGCCCCTCGTGTCGTTCGTCGCACGCGCTTCTCCGGAGAACACCCACGGGTGCAGGACCGCTCAGAGGGTACGAGACCGCTCGAGGGTGCAATGCATGAAGAAGAAAAGAAAGAAGGGTTGGAAGTCGGGGGAGGGGAAGGGTTTAAGTATTGATGGTGGAGTCTGTGGGGACGCCTGAGTAGCGTCGATGATCATTTTCTTGACCACCAGCCCCGGTGTTTTTTTGTGCCCAGAACTGATTCTCTGCGTGAAATGGGTGGATTGCTGCTCAGGAACAACAACAGGTCTTGGGCTGATTCCTGCCAGGCTGGATGACTTGGAGAGGTACTTCGCAGTATCACATGTATAGCACATGGTGTCAACTTGCAGGCCACAGGGCACGTTGCCGAAGCTTGCCAATTGACTGAGGGAGTTCGTACTGTGTAGGTAGTCGTGTAGGTACATACCTATGCATTGCCCGAGCAGACTACGCAGGACAAGGACTAGCAGCGCAGGATGAGGGAGATCACGCCAGCCTCATCGGCATTCGCCATCGCAGAAGGTTAAAGTGTACCGATCAATACTGTGTCTTCCAGCCATGTGGACCTTCATGTCGTTCTGATAGGAAGCATAGCATGTGGCAGGAGCAAGGAGAACCTCGGTATTGAGTCACTGATGTACCGTACAGAATAGCAACGTTGCAAACAAGCTAATGCTCAAGGACGAGGACAAGGAGAAGAGGGGCCGGGTGACCAAGTAAGGCCGAGAGGTAGCGGTATGTAGCGGTACGTAGCGGTGTAAGGAAGGAAAGATAGCAGGGAGTGAAAGCAATGAAGGTGCCATGAAGGGTAGTGGAAGGCCGGCCTCGAGGATGAGGGCGGTGTAGAGAATACGGTTATTAGCCGTTGGTACGTTTACCTGGACGATGATGGCCGTCGAATCTTAACCTAGCGGAAACCGTAGTTGGAAGAACACATCCATAGAAAATCGTGGAAGAAAAGTGCCACAGACATGGAGGCTAGCGGGTCGCATGCGTAGTAATTTACAAAATTGCTACGTCGTACGAAAGTAACCGTAATGGCCAAGTTTCCATAACCTACAACCAAGGAAAGTCGACAGTTAGAGGAAGAAAGGAGGGAGGGAGGACAGCGAAAGAAAGCCATGGAAGGTGCCATGACACCGTCATATGCCGATGGAATGAAGGACAGAGCCATGGTAAGGTCAGTCATGGCGCCTGGCGCTCGATCGACTCCACCTGACTCCTGGACGTGTCGTCCCGCCCGAGAGAAGGATGAGCAGTGGCTGCGTCGAGATGGTGTTGACCTGTTGGAGACATTGGTCTTCCGGCGAACGGCGTGCTTCAGCAGGAGTTTCAGTCAAGGCTGCCAATGGCCAGTGAAGATGGCCTCTGCAACGTGTGGTGCTGGCTACGAGCCTCTTTTGAGGAGAGCCAATGCAGAGACGCAACGTAGTCGTGTTAGATAGAGAATGAATGGCTTTAAATGACCGCATGATTGTCATGTAGGACTAGGAGTCGTGCCTCTGCCCTCTTGTCATGTTCTCTCAGGGCCATCCATAGACTGCTGTTACCGTGCCCAAAACTGCACGGTGCTGACCCAATGTGTTATGTTGAGCCCTAATTCCTATTGATCAATGAGAATTCCATTCTCTAGAACCTGATCACGAGTAACGGGCACCGAAAAGCTCTCATCCAGAATTGAACACCAGTGACAGTCAGAGGCGAAGGGTGAGGGACGAGGAGCGAGAAGCAGTCGTGCACATCCCGTGGCGTCAAGCGAGGCAGATCCGTCCTATGTCTGTCGCATTGGGTCTCTCGAAACGGCATCCATGAGAAGCTCCCATTTTGTTTGCGTGCTGAAGTGATCCATATGGCAAGATATGACTGTGGCCAGTCACGAATCTCGCCCAGGATCAAATCAGTTTCTTGCTCGTGAACTGAAGAGAGGGCAAGATCGCGGGCGACCAAACGCGACCATGAGCCACAAACAGGTAGTCAAACAGCAGTCGAAATGGTCCTTATGGGTGCAGTTCGATTTAAGAGTCGACTTGTGGTACAAGTGTTGTTCGTGCGAGAGAGAGATGTTCCGCAGTCACCGATTGCCAACTTCTTCATCGGAATTGGAATTTTTCATCGGGAGAAAAGCAGAGTCCTGGCAGACCATCCTGTTCTGCGCGTGGATTTGGCAGCTCATGACACCTCGGTTCACGCAGAAGAGACTCCAGCAGATCCTGGTCAATAACCCGAAGACGCATGTTCAATTAGCACGTTTGTAGAACGCATAGTACATAAAGTACAACGATTGAAATATACGATAGATTGCCATACGAGCTTCAGGGCTCGGAGAGGGTAGCAACCCCGTAATCCTCCACATGCCCCGCTACCCCACACTCCGCACCACTAGCTACCTCGCTAACCCCTCTGGAATTGCCAGAATTCCTTGTGAAGGACCCAAGTCCTATCACACGTCGTTGTCAGGAATATCTACAGAGGGAGACCAGTCTCCATAGAAGTGGACGGAGATGCGGACGTCCAGATAGGAAAAGGTATGCTCTACTCTCGAGTGGCTTCTCGATGACAGTATCGAGTATATCCGTGATGTAGTCAGCATATCTAATTTTGCTGCACTCTTAACGCAATCCGTCCGTCCACGTGATGATGAAGTACACCATGACGCCCCAGATCAAGTGAATCACGATTCCCCCAATGCATGACACCCCTATCGCTCATCCTATCAGCATGTTGTACCACTTGTCGACTGTCTTCTCTGTCTTGTGCATGGCGCAGCCTCCTCTAAGTTCCCATTGGACAGGGATGATTGCGGTCCATTTCCAAAAGTGCACAAGATCGCTCTCACTGAGTGAAACAATCTCTTTTAAGCGCCACGCATAGCCATCATGGGTTCTAAACATGGTTGCTTTGTTGAACCAACACTCACCGGCGACGGCATCATGAAAACAGTGCTTGGCTTCGTGGTCAAATGGCTAGATCGTGAAAGTTCTAATTTGAGGGGCACATAGGCTAGGCTACCACTTAAGGCGTACGCATTAATTATTTGGGACAGAACAACTGTATCCTGAGTCGACCATGTCGACAGTTTGTGGCCCGACCGATGCAGACGTAACTCGACGGCGACTACACGTAACCATGCCGGGGGGGTTGATAGATAATGAGAGGGACCATGTCATACGAAAATGCCTTTATTACTAAAATTCAACGAATTACAACCGTTTCAATACCCAATAAATATGATATGCACTGTATTTGGGCCTATACATAGCCTCGGAGAGCAAGAAACTCAGGCCAGAATCCTCCATGCGGCCCGCTACCCCGGCATCCTACATATGTCCGAGTCTATTACGCACCATCATAGTTATTGGAAGATTCAGGCCAGTCTTTGCCTAGGGCCTGGCGTTTGACGTCGCCCTCGAGCACTTCGTCCGCCTGTCTCTTCTGTCCAGTCGGATATCTTGACGCGGGATCGTAAACCTCCACCAACGCCATAGCCTCGTCGTACGCGAGAAGAGAAGGATTGGGAGCTGGATGGTACGTTGGCGTTCTGTGTATTGAAGTCTCCGGGCTACTGATCTGGGTGGGTAAATAATCGAGTTCTTCAGATAACACACAGCCAGCTGCTAGCCGGCTATCCAAGAAAGAGATGCGTTCTTTCAGACCCTGCGACTGTTCCTCCTGGAGCCTGTGAGCTGTGCGCATCTCTTCAGTCTGCTTTATAAGCTGCTCGACCTGGCTTCGCAGCCGGTCGTTGTCGTAACACAGCCTATTGGCATAGACTTGCCACTGGTGCAAATGAAACGCTGACTCTTGGATGACCGCTTGAAAAGTACTGAGTGGAATGGTCAACGCCGAGAAGTCTCGAGCATCAGAATTGTGAATGACAGTAGACATTGATAATTTGATCGGCTTGTATCGACATGAGTTTCACGTTCGCATGTATACTGCACTGGGAGCACTAAATATATGTTGCCAATCTACACTTTTCCAGAATTGATCTCGTGATGAGTACAGCGTCCCAACTGCTCGTCCTGCTATCATTATGTTCTAGAAACGTATCATGTTTGTATCAAGATCCTCTTGGTATATCGTCATAATTGGACATGCTAAGATATCGCTGACGAGAGGCCATTTCCTACCCAAATTATTGTGACCTCAGCATTGTTATTCAGAAAACCGTATTTTGGCCATTCACATATGTGTTCCAAGAACTGTATGTGCAGTTATTATGTATGGGACGGTTCTGTGCTTGGACACAAATTGTCTTCGATATTCATAACATGCTTTTGGACTACTGTGCCGCGCTGGAATACCGTGTATATGCCTTGACCGGACGTGGTCATCCTCTCGAGTATTGAAATTTACTACGATATAACTTATACCACACGTACCATAAACATCTAACATTTCTTGCCATCGACTCATCATGAGTTCTGGAACAAGACAATCAATATCGTCGGAGACTCGATATGCCAGCGCAGCGTCATCGGGACGAAAGCACCAACGCAATCATCGGCGCAGACCGATCCGAATACCATTGTTTAAGCCAACTCGACCACAACCTGACATGGAGACCGACTCGCATCACCCAGCTTCCGAACTATGCTCGGCCGATGCAAGCCGCCTTGCGGCAGCTGTGCAAGAGCTGGGTAAACTCAAAAGATACGCAGATGAACATGAGATCCAGATGCGACAGCTAGAAGACGAGTAAGGTTGTTCCATACTTTCACTACAGCGACAGACTGAATTGATGTTGAACCAGTATTCATTTACTGTGAGTGACGAGCGTTTAATCTGGCGCAAGCTGACTGACAACCTGTAGGTCTCAGGTTGTGATGCAAGGGCAAGTTAAGCAGACTTCTTTCTCGGTTAATGCAGCTAACGAGGAACAAGATTTGATCGCTTCGATCGGAAGTTGGACGACTGGGTATCTAGGCTGACAGACGTAATGAAGCAGCATTCGGAGGTTGACAGTGATCAGGAGCAATACATCAATCCTGCAACGCTAAACTTGAATGTCTCTGATTTTGTACTTGAATAAGTTGGTGGCCTGGTAGTCGAGAGTGATTCACTTTTCAACGCCTCAGCCCGATGCCGGCTTCTTGCCGTCTTTGGATGTAGCGATGGAATTGGAGGCATGGGATAATGAAGCGCGACGGTGTCGGTGCACTGGTGGACTACCATTACATGGCTACAAGGATAACAACAGCCAATAGCGCCATAGTAACTGTTTAAAATTGTTACACGCCACAAAACAAGACGTCTAGTCAGCGATTGCACCATCTTCGAATTCATGAACCCCCTTCTCTCCTACGAAGCCACATAAAAAAGCAAGATCATCGGTGCTGAGTTCTCCCGTGGATTGAGCCGCCGAATCGCCCAACACAACATTGACCTGCGCCCGCTTTCGTCGCTGAAACTCGATAATGCGATCCTCAACTGTTCCCTCAGCCAATATTCGATGCACGTGCACTTCCTGCGTTTGGCCAATGCGATGTGCCCGGCCAATGGCTTGGTCCTCCACGAACGGGTTCCAGCACGGGTCCATGAGAATGACATGAGATGCAGCACTGAGATTCAAGCCACAGTTCCCGGCATGAAGCGATATGAGCATCACCTTGATTCCGTTACCATTTGTGAAACTAGCGACCGTATTGCTTCGCTGGTGGGGCTTCATAGCGCCATCGTAACGGCAGAAATCGATGCGTTCTCGGGAGATCTCAGCTTCCAGTAGATCCAGCAGAAAGGTCCATTGCGAGAAGACCAGAACGTTGCCAGTCGTAGACCTTAGGATCTCGATACACTTTGCGATTTTGGCCGAGTCGGACGAGATGGTGCGGAGGTGCTTCATGTATTGCTGGCGTGCGTCCGTGTTGTGAGCAGCATGCTTCCGCAACGTCTCGAGGTTAGGAAGATGCTTGTCGGCCCCGCCATGTTGTTCGAACGTGTCTGTGTTAGGATAGCAGCATGCCTGGCTCAGGCGCATAAGCATACCAAGACTGGCTGCGTAACGTCTTCTCGTCAGTCCTTGCGCAATGAGTCCCGACACCTGAAGCCGCATTTGCGTCTCTGCATGCTGGTAGCAGTCCCTCTCGCGGCCGCTGAGTACGACAGAATCTACCCATTCGAACTTTCTCGGGAGATTCAGGATCGGCTGGCCTCGTATCGTCGAGTGTTGTGTTCGACGGAGCATGATGGTCTGAAGCAATGCCCCAAGTTGTGGTATTGGCGCATCGCTTGTCCGCACACGTTGCTGCCTGCCATGCAGAGTGCCAAATAGTTCATCAACACCCTGGGGGTTGCCATATGGCTCGATCCGTAGGAATTGGAGTAGAGCAGCCAGTTCGTTCACCGAGTTCATCATAGGAGTAGCGGTGAGGCACCAACGATACTCTGCGCGGATCTTACGGACCGCCCGGGCCACGTCAGTCTTCGCATTCTTCACGACTTGGGCCTCGTCAAGAATAATGCGGTAGAAAAGCGATTGTGGTGCCATGAAAGGGAACCTGTCGCCCAGGTCGTCGCTCAATTGCTCTCCACACTCCACACTCCTCACCTTCAAATGTTGATCAAGGGCGTACATTTCGTTGCGTAATTTTCCGTAACTTGTGAGAACGAGGTCACACGATCGAAGCTCGTCATAAGTACACTTATGCCGATGCGCATTCAAAATCTTTAGTCGGTATTGAATCATGACCTTGTCAGCCGCTTCAGATTCCCACTGATCAAGTAAGGCTGTTGGTGCCACGACTAACGTGGGCTGGATGGGTCAGACATCGTCAAAACCAGTCGGAAAGCGCGCTCACCGCTGGAAAGCTATTGCATAAAGCCATCGGCGGTCGTGTCATGATTAATGCCAGAGTGGTGATCGTCTTTCCAAGGCCCATGGCGTCGGCTAGAATCCCCCCTTTCTTCGTTTCGTCGGCCTCCTGCTGCTGCATCCAGCCAAGCGCTATTGTCTGATGCTCGTACAGAGGATGGCCCATCCGATGTGCTAGGTCTCCATGGCGGTCTAACATGGTGCTATCCGTGGGATTGTTTTCGTGAATTTCCGGGGGTCCTACCAGCGTCAGTTCCGGGCTAGGAATCGACTCGTCTCCGACCCTATTCTGGGGTGAAGATATCAGGTAGCGATCGTTAGAGTTCGTAGGAACTAAATAATTTCCAAAGTCCACGCATAAATCATTGCTGATCGGAAGGGTGGTCGTCCTCTGGCTTTCGAGCGGCCGCGCACAGGTGCCATGCACGTCGACGGAACCGGGCGTCGATGGAAGTGCATCATACATGTCGGAGGATGAAGTGTCAAGTTGCGCGTAAGGTAGTACCTGTCTAAATGCCGTACGAGGATTAATGTATTCGCCGTTGAGATCATCGGGTGCGGAAAGCTGGTAAGGGTTGGTATCGACCAGATTGGAATAGTAGTCGAGAAGCTGGAAGTCGGGTATCGTGGAATGTGTTGGGCGGCGGCTGTCAACGTTGTGGCCAGTGTAAGTTAAGGCACCCTGAGCCAATTGACAACTCCGTATACCTTCGCTGCTCCCTTCAGCGTCGAAGAAGAGTCTTTGCATCTTCGGTTGCGGTACCAGTCTCTCGGCGGGGTTCAACAGCAGATGCTCGTAAGCCCGCTTTCTGGTAAAACCAGCCGTTCGATTTTCTGTTTCCGATAGTTGAAACTCGACATCCGGTTCTACATAAAAGTCAAAAGAATTCTCGAGGTATTATCAGCGTGCAAGACGACTCTCCGCAGCGTTCAGCAACGTTGTGCAATGTGGGGCCACGGATATCAGGCGAGCATCTGCAAACCAGCGGCTTGAAGGGTTTAATCAATTCACCTTCATCACATATGGTGGCTTACCGTTTTTATAGCATATTCGATCATGAGTAGCCAGTGGATACGATAGCGCGGCAGTAGGCGTATCTCCAGATGTGTAGCATTCGGACTGTGATTGACCCGTACTAGTACCGCTTTGATGTGTGTATTCACCGATCATTGTGTTGAGTATTTCAGGATACTCCAAGACGTTGGCGTAACAGGCCGAAACATTCGCTTCCGTTTCGCCCATGGCCTGCGATTGAGATGACTTGGGTTCGTCGGAAGGGGACAACTTGATGACTGCCGAATCCGTGGCGCTGCTGGGTGCTGGTAGAAGGCGCCGTAGCTTCGACATCTCTGCAGGTTTTCTGTTCAGAATATTGAGAGCATGGGCCCGTCAAAAGACTCAAACGTGAGAAAGGTCAGGTTTACATAGACTTCGGTGCGAGGGCGGTCCATACTCGGCAGCTCACAACTATGACTACTAGTAACTAGTGGATACCAAAGTAACGGTGGCACAGAGAGTTCCAAAATGGGCTCATGAATGCCTTGTCTTAGAAATTCTCCGGTGCTGCACTACAGAAGCGACAATCAAAAACTGATTCCACGGGGCTATAATTGCGATATGTAGAGTAGATTCAGTACTGTACATGTACTATGTGTACCGTCCAGCGTCGTTCTGATCAAAATTGGTCCAGCTTACAGCTTCATATATGCTCATCTAAACCTCCTGCGATACTTTCGGGTCATGGTACTCGGCCACACTTATGGTCCATATCAATCCAGCATAATGGCAAGCAGGGCAGTATAAGTTCAAGCTTCAATAACAGGAGACGTTTTCACAATCTGCTACATTCATTTCACCTTGATCTGTGAATGCTGCTGTTGATCGTTAGCAATGTGGACAACCCTAGAGCATGTACCAGCGCTGGCTGCAACCTTCATTGTCTTTCAAAAACATACCATACACGTTGTCAAGCGTGCTGCCAAGCGACTGCGAAAACCCTCCAGTGCCATCCTGTTCCTCCATATCATCATCCCAAACATCGAGATCCTGTACTACTGGGTCTCGATCCTCAAGGACGGGCAGCACGCCAACCCCACGTATGTTGATTTCTCGGTGATGGCTTTCCACTCGTGGACGAGCCATTATCTAGTCAAGGAAGGGCACTACGCTGGTCACAAGAACATTGCGCAGCCCGTTTTCCATGCGCAGATGCTGATACGCCTGGCTATCTCCTTCTGCTCGGTCTTTCTTGGATTCCCCGCTTTGCATGCAGCAACTATCAAGATTAATGCTGCGGCATCCTACCCGAGGATCCTAATTTGGGCGGCGAGTCAGCTCAAGGCTCTGCCTACATACAGAGACGTATACACCGCCGTCATGTTCATTGGGAGCCTCTTGGCCATGCACGACTCAGGCATTGCGTATGGGCCACAAATCTTCATTGGCTGCTGGGTTGGTGTATACGTGCTGGAGTCGTGGGTGGCTCGGAATATAAGCACAGGGGAGACGATGATTCCAAAACAGCACCCCTCACTGTCAGCACATATGAAGGACTGCGTAGCGAAATTTCTCTACCATATCAATTTTGTCAACCAGGGCGAACTGCAGAAATGGAGGATGATTAACGATGATCGGCCGAAGGAACAGAATCGCCAGTTCTCCCACAAGATTGAATAACTACTGTTGATTGTCATCCGATGGATTGCCATGCAATGGGAGGTAGGATTCCGCTTGAGGCTCATGACTCAGGTGGTATACTACTAGATTCTGTAGTAGGGGGGCAAGCACGAACACTAAACGTGAGGGTGGGAGGACGCGAGGGTGGGCGAAGGGATCAGTTGGATCATTCCATGTATATGACAAATAAAGAGTGACCGAATTTCAATCTCGACTTCATTCAGTTATGTAGCTATTGATAGTGACCGCCATCTAGTGA